TACTGAAGAACGACTGCTGCCACGTAATGTTGCCTGGCTGCCTGTCATCGCCCGAGACTGGTCCCAGCAACTTGAAGACGACTCTGCTACACACAGGACAACACCCACATTGAGGCAGTTGTCATACGACGATTATTAGGTACTGAAGAACAACTGCTACCGCGTAATGTTGCCTGGCTGCCTGTCTTCGCCCGAGACTGGTCCCAGCAACTTGAAGACGACTCTGCTACACACGGGACAACACCCACATTGAGGCGGTTGTCATACGACGATTATTATGATGTACATTCTCCTCGATGATCAGGGTTTAGCAACTAAAATCATATTCTAAAAACTATGTTTTAAAATACAAGTAGGTACTTATCTTTTGTTTCCTAGGTCTTGTGGTTAGAGATTAACAGCCCTCCAGAGCAACAATGTGATCTTGCAGTAGAGTTTGGACCAGCCCGAGGTACAGTTTGGTTGTAGAGCTTCTGAAGTCAAGATCTTCTATCAGCTGAGGTCTCCTAATTGTCCTTCAGCAGTTCAATAGTAATCTACAAATAAAAATATTGTTACAATGGTTTTAATGTTCTTACCTTATATGAAATTCAGCACCTTTGAAATTTAGAAGCATGCATGGTAATGATTGAGGTGCAAAAATTATGAGCAAAAATATTTAGCATAGAATCAATTTTTTCAATCTCAAATTTTACAATAAATTAAGGTACTGGTATTCTAAAATGTCTACACCGAATTAAAAAAAACTACTTTAACACCAAAATATTTAAACGGAAAATTTACACACATAATACTGCTGAATAAACTTACCAATGGCAAGGCCGAGCTTGGTGTTGAGCATCCGTGGCAGGTTCCAAGATTGTGCAGGAGTCCGTTTCAAGGTTTCTGATTTCGGCTAATTCCAGTGTATGTGAAGTTTGCTCCCGCCTTTTGTATATCTTCTTTTAAATGATTGCTTACACTTACAGTCGACAATTTTATTTTTCATTTAGGAATTTTTGTTCTTCCTTTACTTTAAGTTGTATAATGATTTCAAACAAATTGTTTCTATGGATACACATATTAAGTTAGTTTTATTAAGACTTGGCCTTGTGTTTGGATTGAACACATTGCTGTATAAGCATTATGAATTGTATCTTGCCTATTTTTCTTACCGTTTTAACATTTAATTTATAAATCAGTGTTACAATTTGTTTCAGTACAACAATTAATAATAACTAGTGCACCTGTTGCCTGAATTCGAGCAATTGCAAAGTATTACGGGCGTTATTTCAAAACGAATAACAGTCATAATTTCCGATTACCGTACTTAAAAGAGTCAACTCAAAGATAATGTAATCAATCACTCCACTCCAGTTATTGAAACTGAAAACAAACGTTCTTGTGTGTATCATATGTTTACTATTAACAGGTGTAATTGATACAAATTATTCGTCCGTTTAAGTAAACAAAATCTTTTATCCGTAAGAAATACATTGGGATTTTGATGGCTTGGGGGGCAAAGCCCGAGGACTTTTATTACAGGAGTTGGTGAAAGGGGGCATCTACACAAACAATACTTCATTTTGACACATCGTTTGTAAAAATCCGGCCATTATTAATGGAGGAGTAGTGTTTCGTAGAAATAGCCTTCACGTATTATAAGGATTGTTGATTATTATCCATCCTGGATAGCTTCTAACCGGCTTCCAGTGTTATGTGTTGTGTTCTTGTGTTTCGGTGAATTGTTTCAGTCTTAGTTTTGAGTCCATAATTACAAAAAAAGGTTAATTCTTGATCTCAGAAAAACTCTCTCAAATACCCCCTCAGGTTGAAACTTTGCCTAAGCATTTTCTCTAGTGTATATATAAAACATAATTTGAGTTAACATACAGTATTTTACTATACTTCATGTATTGCTCATTTTCCTCTGGTTTATACAAATTGTAGCTTGAACTTTCATAAAAGACATCATAATGTCGACCATTGCTTCACGCTGAGTTATACTGGAACTGAAACGGAGAACGTAGCCTATGTTGTAATTTGTAAATGGAAATAACAAAAAAGGCTTACTGGTGAGCATTTTCATATTTTCCTGTAACAACTTTTACATTTCAGATAATTATGTTTATTTTAAAGCATTATTAGCTTAACAACTTTTGAAAATACTTTTATAATCAAACAAACTCCCTTAGACTAGACTAGCACACCACGTTGTGGCTTCACTTATGACAAATTAAATTAATAAGCTAAATGTTTTATCAGATAGAAAATAATAAGAAAATTGTAACGACAACATACAGGTTAATCTTAAAATAATATGACAATTAAATATTCACACAATCATAAAAAAGCTTAACGTGTGACTACTGAAGTTAAAAATACCCCCGCCGCAGCAAACCTGCAGACTAAGCGAATTTCCATTTGACTGATTGGATTTACACTGAAATGTCTACTTAAAAATATAACATCTATTCTCGATTTTAAATAGGTATAATTAGTTTAACAAGTACTTAGGTTTGCTGCATCAGGGAGGGTTAAACTGTTTTTTTTTTTTTTTTTTGTAAAATGTGAATAGTTAGTAAGAAATAAAAACATTTTCCAAATTTGATCAAAATATGTTCACAAACAAGCAAACTACAATAGTTTACTTATTCTCCATAAGAATAACATGGGAATTTTAAATTTACAATTTTTTGGATTTTTCACCGTAACCATTAGGCGCATAATAACGCTTCAATATACTAAATTATTTGTTTTTTTAAGCTCTACAAAATGGTTTGGAAAGAAATTGCTAAATTTTATGTTTTTTGGGTCAAAAATGGGAAAAACCTATTTTTACCCCATAAAACCCCCCGTAAACCCCCGTTCCCATGGTCCGATCATGCTGGATCGCGAACTCGTTCGAATAAACGTACGTTTACACGTTTGTACCAAATTTCATCTAAATCGGATCATTTTTGCTCGAGTTATCGTGCTACAGGACACATATATAATTATATATATATATATATATACTAGCAGAGTATATATGTATAACGGACATATACATATATATATATATATATATATATGAATTTGAACGGATGGTGTTTTTGGCCTCTAGGGACCTCAAAACGAAAAAAAAATCGGTCCCGCGTCCAGGTCTTACCATGAGTACTACGGTAATAGCTTATTCCCTATATGGGAAATTCGCTAAAATGAAGAACCTCATCTGACATTGGCAACATTAACAGTTCCTCCATCAGGAGCTATAATAACAGAATAACTATAAGCAATCCAGACTACTCTGGAACAAGCAACATAATGTGTTTTATCAAAATACTATTCCCACTGAATCTCCTTTTATTTATGATTACTACATGCTACATAATTTGTCAGTAGTAGCTAAGGGAGTATGTTTTATCTATGGTTAGTCAGTCCTCCCCTAACTATTGAACAAAAAATATTATATGATTTATCAAAGTATCTTTGCTTTATTGAAATGGAGGCTCTGATCAATTTGAAAATGTACATTGGATGCTGCTATTTGTGGTTTCTGCCGAATAGCACTGGTTAACCGGGAAAGTTTCTTTTCTTCTTCAAAGGCCATAAAGGACATTTTTCTGCAGCATTTATTTCTGGTTCAATGTACAGGACATAATTCACAAAAGTTTGATCCAGGAAATATGTGTATTATTTAATAAGAGGGAAGAGGGTTATGTTTGGTTAAAGAAAGGTTGTATAAGTTTTGTATAGAGTTTCATTTGTAATTAATTTTAATTTTATTTATTTATTTAAATTAATTTTGTAGAGCTCACAGTTTCATTTGTTATTTATATAGTAAGCTAAAAGAGCCTTGACTAAAATTGTAGATTAATGGAAAAACATATCATATTCATGAAGCATCAATATCAAGTAATTGATATTATTGCTTCACTAAGGTATGTTGTCATATATTCTTTTGGATCTATTTGACATCAAAAGTAGGGGTTTGAAAGGAAGCAGGTTTACACTTTTAAATCAGTTTATCCTTTTAAAACAAACTCATCAGAGTTGCTGTATTTTTAAACACACATCAGCACCATATGTACTCTGTAATGGCTGCATAGGTCACATTTTCTTCCTGTTGCAAAGCATGGGTATAGCAGGAGCAGCTCGTTTGGTTATACAGTACAGCAAATAAAAATAAAACACTTATTCAAAATTCTACGTTTAACGCACTACCCAAGGGAAATATGAAATAGCTATTTACCTTACAAGTGTAGTAAGAGCGTTTTTACATCACGCAGGTGAATGTTGTGCAACGAGCGGAAGCGAGTTGCATAATTTACCGAAGTGATGTAAACACGCTCTTGCGTAACGTGTAACGTACAAGATTTTACCTGACCCGACAATATACAGGAGGTTACGAACAATATTTTTCATTATCCATTTCACTCATCTTCTAACAGTAACGTTCATTTACAAACAAAAGCTAGGTTAAGAAAATTCTTCAAAGCATAACAATAAAATTCAAACACACAGCTGATTTCTAGCGTTAAACGTCGTTGGCTCCATAGAGGTATATTTTTTAAGTTATCCACTCAATGTTATTTCAATGGGTTTCATTACATCACCGAGTGAGTTTTTTTCAACTTTACATCACTCGAAAAGTAAGGAAGTTGTATACATCACGCTTGGGATAGGGAAGTTTAACATGGCGGGTTAGGTAAATAAAATTCTTTAATATATTGCATTGTCTCCATTTGTGGGCTATGTTTCAAGTCTCTAGCTCATCGGGAAGTTAGTGTAAAATCAATTTTAAAATTTGTACCGGACAAGAAAGCGAGCTAATAAACATGAGACCATGGGGCGTAGCCCTAGAGAAATATGGAAATAAAATGATTTAATATTGCATTTTCATCTATTTGCGAGCTATGTTTTAAGTTTCAAGTCTCTAGTTCATCGGGAAGTTGGTTTAATAGGCCTACCGATTGCAAAATTTGTACCAGACAAGAAAGCGAGCTAATAAAAACGTTTTAAAAATAATAAAAACTTACCAACAAGCACAATAAGTTTCTCCATAGTCATCATGTTGGGACACAGACACGATATCAAGTCAGCCGTGATCAGAAGATTTTAAGATTACTGTGACTTAGCAGGAATATTTGTAGCTTGTAGCACTACTCTGACGCACATCACATAACTTCAAACCTGATTTCAAGATCGTAAAAAACCGGATTTGCTAAAGGGGAAATCGAGAAAAATGTAACACGTAAATTGAATTACTAACGGTAGTTCGTTATTAGTAAATACTGCACGTCACAACCCCACTAATGTTTACCTTTTTAACCTTTCAGATACAGGCTGAAACTAATTCCTTATCACTGACCTTGGTTTCTATCTTGTTGGGAATTCCTTTGTAGTGGAATGGTTCACATGTTAAAAACAGGCAATGACCTCTCCCAGTTCTTTCCTTGTGTGTTGATGCAAAACCGATTACCAACAAGGAAAATCTTTTGTTATTGGGAATTGGTTCCAATTGCGAAATCAACACCCGTATGTCTCATAGCACGTTGCCCACATGTTCATGTTATCTTGTGAGGATATAGAACTATATAATTGCATTTATTGTTCTACATTGCGGAAAAGTATAGCGTTCATAACCTTTCATACAGAACTTAATAAGTTACCTTATAGTCTAATACTTAGAAAAGGTTTTGGGGACTTGTTATGATTAAATAGTTTTTACATGAACAATAGTTTATTCGAGTCATAATACATTTACAAAATATCTTTGGTAGGAGGAGTTTTTGTTCGAAATATTTCTCAGCCGTAGTTCAGGCTAATAGCTCCGGCGTGGCCGTTATTTCTACCACATGATCCTTCTATGTAAACCTGAACACCTGAAAATAGAGCCATTAGAACTGTTTAATACAATGGTACAATTGTGTGAGTTCGGTATTTTGTGGTTACAGTATTCCATAGAAATATTACTTTGGTTCAATGAACCTTCCAATGTTTCAATTCATATCTGGGTTAAATTACGCCTATGTAGCCTGTCCATCCCCTTTTACTAGCGTTAGTGATAGTTTTGGGTTTGTATTCAATTTCATAAATACTTTGTTGAACTGAGAAAAAATATGAAATGTTACTCAAACCGAAAATGTCCAGAATCGTATTAACTAATAGATACAATTTGCTATAAATTGTCCTGAAAAAATACACAGTTGAAGTTTGAACGAGTGATACAGTAATATTTTCTATTAAATGCATAATTAGTATTTTACGTAACGGTCGTGTAAAGATGGTGTCAACGACAAGAGTAGAAAATTTGATGTACGAGTATTGGCGAGTGTCGTTTACGCGAGCTGCGTACACTACTTATTTACCTACGACCGGTTTTTAATTACTAACTAGTGTACCTGTTGCTCGAATTCGAGCAATTGCGAAGCATTACAGGCGACTCACGAAGATTATGGAAATACTCACAATCTACACAACAGTTAGATATAATCAAAATCTTTTGTAAATATCTTTTCTTTTCTCAAAAAGCTGATCTTGTTTTTAGTGTTTCTACAAATTTTTCCCTCTCATAGCCGTATTAGGTTGTAAATAATAACGATTATAAATGAAAAAAAAATTTCTTTTCTTCTACTTGGTTGTGTTCTATGCCTTTTTCTATGTTACCATTGTTTGCAAATCGGTTATTTCAATGATTGCTCAAGAAATGTAGCATATTGTTAATTCAGTTTTATTTTTAGCCTATATAAAATTGTCCAGGATTTCTCGCTTTTTTCCATTGTAATAATTTCACCCACCCAAGTTTCGTCTACAGATGCAATACGCCACGCCAAAGAATATCACCTACGTACAATCTCCAAGAAGTGGTAAAAAAAGGCAGAAACCAAGCCATACAATAGATATAAGTTAACTCCTTAAGAAATAATTTTTAGAGTTACTGTGATATTAGGATTTTCCACTGATTTGGTAATAGAACATTATATTGCAAAACATGACACGATGCAGAATAAAATCGATTTTAAAATCAGAAAAACCCATTGCAAATACCGTACTTCATTTTGAAAAATTCAATAAATCACAATTTAAATATTAACAGCTGTTTCATTAAAAAGTAGTGTAGAATTATGCATATGGTAAATAAATGTGAAGAGGCAGCTTTAAAGGCTTCTGGGGCAGAGCCCCAAGGGAATTTACCTCGTTCCTCTTTTGATGGCTCATCTATAGACCAAGACCTTTCTTTAGAGACCCCTACCAAGTTTCTACACCCAGCCGTTCTCTCAAATTAGCTGGGACAAAAACCCAGTTTTTCCTCCATAAGAATAACATGGGATGGGAATTCAAAGGCCACGGGGCAGAGCCCCAAGGGAATTTACCACGTTTCTCTTTTGATGGCTCATCTACAGACCAAGACCTTTCTTTAGACACCTCTACCAAGTTTCTACGCCCAGCCGTTCTCTCAATAAATTGATAGCTAAAGCTATGACAAAGAAAAACAGTTTCAAATTAATATATAGATTATAGTACCGTAAAGTTTTCTTAATCATGGTAACTTATTCTCAACTAAATTTTACTATTCCCAGCATTAAAATAAAGTAGTAAGATCCATTATGAGTAAACTTTAATGTACACAATCCTTGATTGAAATGTAGTATACATTAACAGTCATAATACAAAGCAATTATTATGTAGTAGACTTTGACTATTTTCAAGTAACAAACATATGTTTCTGTAAATAAAAATTATCTCCCCATGTTATCCTTATGGAGAAATACGAAACTTTAAAGGGCCCTAGGGCCTCATCCTCTAATTATTTCCCTAAAAAGAAAGTTTCCTGCATAACTTCAGGTTACGCTCTTTCCAATGAGACCAAAAACATGTCAATCGGTTCAGTAGTTTCGGAGGAGTAATTGTCACAAAAATCCTGCTTGCGTATTAAATAAGTAAATAGATAGATAATAACTACTCAAACTTCTAAGAGAGGCTATGTTTTCGTTTTAAACCGCTCATTGCCACTGACATTGATGCAACGACTCATTGTACAATTCGTTAACAAATAAATTGGCAAACAGCTGTTTAGTTTAGTTGAAGTTAGAATTCGAAGCATTACAATTTTGCTTCTTCTCTCTCAATCCTTGAACCTCATTGGTCCGTTACCCGTGTTAATTGTTGTGCAAAACTAGGCTGTTGCTGTTATGTAAGTAAACAATGATGTTAGCCTATGAGAAACTTTTCAATTCTAAGTACTGAACTGAAACGGTCACTTTAAAAAAACGGCCGGAGGTAAAATTTGTAAAGCAATTTTAGTTCAAAATACGTCCATCCAGCTTTGATGTCAATCCATCCAGCTGTAATGCTCTTGAAAATACACGACTATAGCTACAACCATATTAAATTCAACTGTTTAGAAATAAAATCTTACTTTTGCCGCACATCTGAGCGCAGTTGAGCACATCTATGTTCATATAAGTCTGTCCGTCAGTTCCACAGACTGGTTTGTACTGCGATGTGAACGTGCAAGGACACGTGGCCGTGTTGATGATCCTATACCCAGGGTCTCTCCTGGGGATCTTCGTGGTGGAGGGCTCTGTTGTAGTGGATGTCGTGGAGCTCGAGGTATCTGCAAAGGGAAGGAGGTCCGGCTGGAAAGAGCCCTGGTTTGATTGTCCCGAAACTTGAGGATCAAACCCGTATCCTGGAAATGATCCTTCTGGACGATCAACGGGTTGAGGATATCCTGAATTTTGACGTCCTGGACCTGAGGGGGAGTTCTCTGGGTAGATTGGTTCTCTGCTCCATTCAGGCCTAAACTGGCGACGGCTCAGGCCAGACATGGCTCTAGACAAGTCTGAAAATGTAAAACACGTGAAATAGTAAATAGTGTCTCTGTTCAGAAAGGTTTTAAATTAACAGTTGAAGAGAAGACTGATTAAGAGGTATTTTGTCGTAACATATATATGTGAAATTGGCTGAGTTAACATCTAATTGTCTCATGCAAAAACGTACCAAGTCACATCAAACATTTCTTTATTACGTACGTAAATATATCAAAACCTCACTTGCCGAATGAATTTTCGCATTTCATGCACAAACGTTATGTAGGCCTATCTCAGCCTCAGGCACTCAAAATGTTTATGGACGGAACGATAGTTTTGATGTGGCTTGGAACGTTTTTTTTAGTTTTGCGTGTAACGATCGTTTTTGGAATAGGCATCCGCTCCAAAATATTTTGAGCCAAGTATTGACGTAATGATATCAATCTATGTGATTTGGTTAACACTACCTTTATTTTGTGCAGTTTCCCTATCTACAATAAGCTTAGTTAAAAGGTTTTATCTCCTACTAGCTGGCCCGACAGACATTGTCCTATTGTGGTTTTATGTCACATGCTCGTTCATTTTCAAGATGAGCTCGTTCGCATGGCTCAATAACGTCCTGGTTGAAGTTCGTTCGCTACGCTCACTCACCTTTAGGTTGAAGTTCGTTCGCTACGCTCACTCACCTTTAGGTTGGAGCTCGTTCGCTGCGCTCACTTGCCTTCAGGTTAGATCGTTCGCTACGCTAACTCGCCTCCAGGTTGAAGTTCGTTCGCTACGCTCACTCACCTTCTGGTTGCAAATTAGCTGTTCTCATAATTTAAAAAAATATAGTGCTGCACCCTGTTGGTAAACCAATTAACTTTTTAATGCTATTGAACATCACAGAATCAGATAGTTTAGTTGAACCAGCTGTTAAGATTCTTTAATTCCATTTAAATATGAGTACTCATAAGGTTAACATGGGAAACTCCAGAGCCACTGGGGCGGAGCCCTTTTGACGGATCTGCACCAAACTTCACACAAACCATCCTTGAATAATGCTTTATAATGCCTGAAAGTTTCATTACAATCTGTCGAGCGGTTTTGGAGTCCATAAAGGACAAACATACAAACAAACATACATTGGATTTTATATATATATAGATAAACCACAAATATTTAATAACTTAGCTCTCGGAAATGATTTTAAATTGATTTCAGTATTCGTTGTATTTTAAATTAGTTTCATGTTTTATGCTCTGTTCTCTTAACGAAAGCTGAACAAAATACACAATTTTCAGTTTCCTTATATCATATTAATCATTTACAACAACCGCAATCATATAAATGTGGCAAGTTTCTAGTAGGTAACGTAAAATTAAAAAAACAATCCCATATTCTTTAGTATTTCTCGTGTTTGTTGATGTGTTTGTTTTTACATGCTTGTATAAGTTAATTTACTCACCATTATTTGTTTCCCCGGGAAAGACAAGAGCACTTGATGGAAAGCAGCTCACATGTGCAAAAAATGCTGCAAAACAAATAATCGTGTGAATATCAAAACTATCAATCTAAATGGCAATGATAAGTTAATTAAAAATCAAATTTGTTGATGTTTTGTATACTTTT